GATTTAGATGTGTTGCATCAATAAACTCTAATCTATTATAGCTTTGAGTCTCGTCATTATTATGGATAATCGATTCTATATTAATCAGGTCTAGAGACGGGTGTTGCCTAATCTTAGGAACAAGGTTTAGAATAATATCAATTTTATCTCGATCCACACCACTAGTACCATATTTTTCAAATAAATTTAGTTCCTCTAAATTAATAACAGGGACTTGATTTCCTTTGTGAGGCTCCTTGAGAACGTCTAACTTTGTATGGTCTTGTTTGTTTGAAACCTTAATGTTCATCTACCTTGTGTCTATGTTGTCTTTTGCAATTGCCAACACTGTGGTCAACATTCACTACTACAAAATACGCATTCGGTAACACTAATTCTACTACAGTTATGCATTTCACGTTGTAAAATCGCAAACTAGATAACTTTCATATATATATGAAAGTTATTTAATCACGATTGTTATAACCAATTGTGGTGATAAAGTAATAGTTACAATTCTATCAACTATATTTTTTTTTATTTTTCCTATTACATTAAGTTCAGAAATAAATAAAAAATTGAAAATTATTTAACCATGATTTTGTATATAACCGTTGTAATAATATCTACATTTCACTGTGATTGTAAATATCAATTGTGATTAAAGTTTTTCCTGATAAATTTAAAACAAAACAAATTCATTATTTCCTTCATAACATGCCCTAAGCTAACTAGCGAATCAGTGAACCAGAGATGACAACGATAGCGATTGTGAAATCTTCATCTTCACAATCTTCGTTCATTTGAATCTTCATTCTTGATAATCTTCATTATCTTCATTCTTGGTATCTTCGAAGTACGATATGTTTCGTGCAAACCTCACTTTCTTCCTCATCTTCCTAATTCTTGATAATCTTCACTACAAGAAAATTTGTCAATACCCAGGGCCAAAAACCCTCGGTAACAAGAAAAAGCCGTGGGAAAAGTAAATTACCGAGGGCTTACCAACGACTATGGGGCCCTCGGTATTTCGCTCCTTGGTAACGTCTACCGACGGCTATATAAACCCATGATATTATCCACGGCTAAACCGTGAATAGTTTGCGGGTAATAGGTTATCAAATATCAAATTTTTTGTCTTATATTATCCACGGTTAAGCCGTCAGTAAATTTACCGAAGGCAAAGCCGTCTGTAAATTTACCGAGGGCTAAGCCATCAGTAAAGTTACTCAATTTTTGGTATAACTTTACTGACGGTTAAGCCATCTGTAGTATTATAATTTTTTTAATCAAAAATACCAATATTTCATCAATAGACTTATTTTGTTAATATTTTCCCTGTTTGAAGACAATATGAATATTTTTTCGTAACATCTTATAAATATTTTTTCATAACAACTTATTAATAAATAAAAACTCTTTTATGAATATTTTTTTATATTATAAATCTACAAAACTCTTTTTTTATCATGACCATAATTATATATAACATTTCAACAAACAAATCTCAAACAAAAACTCAAACCTTAATATCAATGAGATCTCAAAAAATATTCCATTCAACAAGTTTGATGTAAACAAGCTTAAACAAAACATAAAACATGTTCAATCAAAATATAATGTGATTGTCAAAGTATTCTCATGAGTAAAAGTAAAGCATAATATGATCTTAAATGCTTCCAATAGAGTCATCATCACTGTCGGAGTCATCATCATAGTCTGAATGACGACGACGACGTTTGTCACCTTTGATAGAAGCAACACTTTCAGCTAATTCCCTCAATTGTCTTTCCAAATCTTGTGTGCGTTTATTTGCCTTGCGACATTCCTCTCGTGCAACTCGAGCATCTTCCTCTGCAGCATTTGCTCTCTCTTCAATTGTTGCCATTTGTGCAGCAATCTCAGCAGAAACTTGACCGCTACATGTAGATACACGTGACTGTTGGGTTATTAACGAGGAAACACCTGGCTTGTAATGCTTAGACAAGTCACCAGCACCATAGAGACGCCCTCTAGTCTTTCCACCGGCAGCTTCAGCCCAAAAATTTAGTCGAGTTGCAGAATCAACTTCCTTAGGGCCACTATTTGATGTCTCTCCTACTTGAGAGGCGTGTTTTAGCTTCTCTTGAAATGTTTCCTGATAAAAAAATACTTAAAATTATATACATTACAATATTTTCACGATACGAACTAACAGAACAATAATCATTTAATTGTTTGTTGAAAGTAGCAAAAACAGGAATTTCGACCAAAATCTATTAATTGTATGTAACTTGTCCTTTTCAAATAAATGGTATTAAAGATTTTATCCAAGCATACATCAAAATTTAGTAATTACACTTACATATGTCTTCTTTGATCTTTCGTCCACCCATGAGGAGTCCTTCTTTTTTGTATGAGTCCTTAAGAAGACTTCATCTAATGTGGGCTCTCTACCTAATTCCCGACGCTTATGCATTATAAAAAATTGATGTCAAATGTTAGGAAAAAATAAATTATGAGCTAAAGTTTAAGGAATCAAGTGTTTAAAATGAATGACATACCATTCGTATGATGTGCTCATTTGTGGATATGGAGCCACCCGTATGGACAGATCCACCCTTAGCAGATGCCCGATTTTTCTTATTCCTGGCAGCTTTGACCTTATACTCTGGTGTTTCCCATTTAATTTTGAGCCCTTTCCAAGCACCCTCTCCCATCCAAGATGGACGTTCTTGTTTCTTCCTTGCATCCATCAGAATCTCTGAGAGGCGCTTTGAGCCTTTGCTCTTAAAGATACTCTTGAGTTCAAACTCATCCTCAGGCCGCCAAGCAACTATTTTCTGCAACATTTTAATAATAGACAAATTAAGAAGCAACGGATTAGAAGACCAGGTCCAAACCTCAAAACCAGAAGAAAAAAAATCATATAACATTAAAATAATAGTTCCTTGCAATGCAACCTATGCAGCTAAATTATATTGTTGTCTTATCGTCCTCCAATTTGATTGAAATGCTAAACCTATTTACAAACGAATCATCCCTTTTCTAACCATACTTTTATCTTTAAATAAAACCACATCCAACTGATTGTAAGTTGTAGCAATGATGTGAAAACAAATAGCTTCATTGTATGCATATAACACTTCCTATCATTCATAAGTCTTACCTCCCTCACCACGCACCAACTTCACGACATGCAAAGAATATATACACCTTTCTGAACAAAACATTGCACCTAATTAACCAATCATTAATTTCATCCCCTAAACTATAAAAGGAAACTCTTTCTTTCTATTTCTTCACACCACCACCAGGCAACAATATATGCACCAGTGTCTTGTGACTAATACTATATTCTTATTTCAAAATAACACTTCAAAAATTACTAAATATGAATAACGTCATGCAACAATCTCTCATTTCAACCTCAGTCCTTCTCCTTGCAATTACTTTCTACACCACCACCACTTTAGCCCAACTCTCACCAATTCAACCTCCAACAACAACAGCATCATCACCACCCTTACCAACAACAGCATCACCACCATTACCGGCAACAACAGCAACAGCACCAACACCAGGACTAAACACAGTTCCACTTGTACCGACAACACCAACTGGTGCACCATCACCCCTCATCCCAAAAGGACCTACCATTGACATAATCAGCATCCTCCAAAAAGCAAAGAGATTCTCTGTCTTAATCCGTCTTCTGAAAACAACACAATTAATCAACCAACTCAACTCACAGTTAGTATCATCATCAGGTTCAGGTGGTTTAACAATTTTTGCACCAGAAGACAGTGATTTCTCTAAACTCAAAGCAGGGTTCTTAAACTCTCTATCTGATAGACAAAAAGTTGAACTCTTGCAGTTTCACACTCTTGCTTCATTCATTTCAATCTCAAACTTCGATACCTTAACCAACCCTGTTCAGACACAGGCCGGTGATGATGCTAGGCTTCAACTTAATGTTACTACTTACGGTGGAAACCAAGTTAGTATGGCTACTGGAGCCGTTAATGCTTCCGTTACCGGTACTGTTTAGTTATTCAATTTAATAGAAGTACATAAATTAGCTATCCTATTTAGTTATTAATAACTCTCTATCAAAACTAAACAAATTATAAATAAATTAGAAGTACAGAAATTAGAAAAACTAAACAAATTAACAAACTTACCCCAAATTTCGTGAACATCCTATTCACCCTTTTATCTGGTATCTCCCTCCAACTAATCCATGCCTTACGGAATTGTGACTCAATTACTTTGGTAAGGGCCCTCGAGGCCACCCTACACGGGTTCCACCTACATGCAAATTATAAACAAAATATTAAAATACATTATAGACACGTCAACATAAGTGATAAATTAACATAAAACAAATATGTACCCTCTCCCATATGGAAAAATATAGGGCCTCCCATCAGTTGTCTTATGAATCTCATGACAAGAGTGTCTTGATTCTTGCACCAGATCATCACTGGTTTGCACATGTAGCGAACCAGATTGAGTGTTTGGATCCGACATATGTCGTGAACCTTGAGCTGATGAGGAAGGATCTCTGACATGTAAAGATGTTTCTATTGCCTCATGTGGCCTAAAATCTGGAGTTGGCACCATAGTTATAGGTGGATCTTTTGGATTCTCATTGTCTTGTATCTCCGCATCCACTTGTCCAGAATCATGTTGTTCCACTTCCACTTGTCTTTCATCTTGTTGCTCCACATCCATCTGCTCCACATCATGTTGTTCTAGTTCTAGATGCCTTGCATTATGTGCATTCTTGGCTGCTTGAGTCACCTTATGCGGCAAAACCATCTTCCTTTTCTGCTTTGGTGGGATCACCCTACCTTTTCCTTTTGGAGGCATCTGTAGAGAAAAAATAATATATATTAACTTTTAAATACTAAAAATAACAAAGAACTAAAATATATGCACTAGCAACAATTTTATGCGATTATAATGAAAAAAGTAGTCATTATATACACATTTTACAATGATTCACAAGTGAAAGTATCAAAAATATTTTATATGGTTTAATCTTGAATTGCAAAACAAGTTGCTCTAGCTATTTTCTTCAACTCACTTTTGGAATGTGTTGAAGATATGGATAATATGGTGTTAGTAACTTCATCATCGATATTATTATCTTCCCTATAATCATTATCTGCACTAGCATTAATTTGCATGCTAGAAATTAATGTAACATCAACTTCTTCATCACTATGTGTTTCATCGTGCAAGCCGGTTATATCTTCAATTTCAGTTATCTGTTCAACGTGAGCCATCTCTTCATCTTGATAGGGTGTATCATCATCAATGTCAACAACCTCTATACGACCTCTGGGCTTTGTCTTTATCACTGCACACCAACCACGTTTGTCTACACGCATTTCTGGGTAAGGTACATAATACACTTGTTTGGCCTTTTGTGCAATTATGAATGGATCATAACGATCATATTTTTTGTTCATCTTGATATCTACAATATCATAATGAGGATGAACTTTTGTTCCTCTACCTCGTTTTGGATCAAACCATTGACAGTAAAACAAGGCTACTTTGTGAGATAATTCATGATACTCCAACTCAAAGATATGTTTAATGACTCCATAGAAATCATCTTCCCCACCTTCTGTAATCCCCTTCACATAAACCCCACTATTTATGGTCTTTTTACCTTGACTCCATGCTTGTGTGTGGAATTTGTACCCATTAATGAAGTATTTGTGCCAACTCATGGCATTTGATTCAGGACCCCAAGCTAATGATATTAGTTTTTTGTCTGTCACACCATTTCCCTCATTAGTGGCCTACACAAACATGAAATTCACAATAAAGATAAAGTGATTAATTTTTTTACAAGTTTGAATGACAACACTTACATACTCTCGAAACCATTCTGGGAATTCTCCATGTATAAGAGTTGAAGCTGAAGGATCCTCTTCATTGATGGACTTATTTTGCAAGAAAATACTGGCAATAAAGAGAGAATTATTGTGATGTATGTATTGTAAATGTTTATTTTGTGCCTATCTTTGTTTCATTACTTACTTAATATATGGCTTAACCTCATTGCAATTAATGAGAATGTGTACATGAGCAGATCTCCATTCAGCATCAGTCAACCAATGTATTTGGGATTTTCCACTAGGACGTCCAAGAGGGTTGCTTATTGACAATGTTGGCACTACATCATCGTTCAGTCCTAACGCTTCATTATGTTTGCTTGTGGCAAATAAGGTGGCCGTTTTGAAATAGTGGGAACAAAAATATGTTGTCTCTCGGTGTAAATACGACATACATATTGAGCCTTCCACTCTAGCCTTATTCTTCACTGACCGCTTAAAATCTCCCATCATTCTTAAAAAAAATGAGTGTTAGATCTTCTATGAAATGTGAAAGATTTAAAATGAATAAATTAATAATTAGGAATGTATGCAAAATACCTTTCAAATGGATACATCCATCGATATTGTACAGGACCACCAAGTTGTGCCTCATAGGGAAGGTGAATTGGAAGATGCTCCATAGAATCAAAGAATCCTGGTGGAAATATTCTTTCAAGTTTGCATATGATGACTGGAATGTTATCACCTAATTTAATCAATTCATCTTTTCTTAAGGTATTGCTGCATAATCCCTTAAAGAATTGACTTAACTCTGTAAGTGGTTTCCATACAAGATCAGGCAATGAACTAAATGCAAATGGAAGTAAACACTCCATAAACACATGACAATCATGACTTTTCATGATTGTCTTCCTTATTAACATGTTCTCTATCAACCTCATATTCATCGACATTATCTTCATTAATCCCCCTTTCCTCACCAACCTCGTTCTCATTTCCCACATCCTCGTTAACATTATATTCGTTATCGACATCCTTATCACCTTTGTTGCCCATACTTCGAAAATCATAATCAGGCCCTATTGCATCCTCGACCATATGTTGCATTAATTCAAAATGGTCTTCATTATCCACATGTCTACTACTAATTGGTACATTTGCTGAGTCAATACGTGGGGCTTTTTCACCGTGATCTGTCCAATACCAATAATTTGGTTGGAATCCATATTTATACAAGTGAAATCTAACGTCACCTTCGGACAATACCGGCACACACATGCACTTGTTACAAGGACATCTAATTCCACCATCGCGTTCAACATTAAGTTGCATTTTAGCCTTTTTAATGAACTCATCAACCCCGTTTACAAAGGTTAGTTTCAAACCCCCCCTATGAGGATAATGCCTATCATATACCCAACTACGTTCTGGAGGGTAACGATCCATATACAATCAGCAATCTAGACAGAAGCTATCTAGACAGAAGAAATAAATTAAAAAATCAGCAGTCCACACAATCTAACGATCCATATACCCAACTACGTTCTGGAGGGTAACTACATATATCTCTATTGAATTTAGATAGTTCAATCTAACTATCCAAATAAATTATAAGAACACAAATCTACCATGTTGCAAACTACCATGTTGCAAACTACAAATGTTCTCAAGTTCCAAAATTTATAATTGATTTAAAACTTGAAATAAATGGACAAAATTAAGAGTAAACAAACAAAACCGATATTTCATACCCAAAAATATGTTCATGAATAGACATGATATATTCAACTATTTTCATTTGACATTTTCTCATTATTACCGGTGCATTTGTCAGTGTTATTTTCTGTGCCAGTGTTTGAGCATTGTTAATTTCAACTTATATACAACAAATAGGATATATAACTTGTATAAACATACTAACTCAAGCTTGTGTATATTTAATAATAATGAATTATAATCTATACGGAGAAATGAAGCAGAAAAATAACAGGGTTCTGTTACCTGAAGAACTGAAAGTGACAGAAACCAAAAGCTGGAGAACTGAAGAACTGAAAAATAACAGGGTTCAGCTTGATTCCAGCAGCAACAGAAACCAAAAGCTTGTCCTTAAAGTGACTTCAATTTCAACGCAACTTTCTTTTACTGCAACAACAACAACAACAACAAAGCTAGTCAATAACGACAATGTTTCTTTCCTAAATAATGTTCAAATCGATGAAATACCTGATTAAGGTTTAACCGAGAAAACGTCGATGTTGCTCGCACGATGGAATACGCTGTAGTTGGAAGAAAGGACGATGATGCTGATGGTCTCAAAAGTGGTGCAACGAACAGGGTTAAACTGAGTGCTTACGATGCGGGAAGGTGGAAAGACGCAGTAGAAGGTTGGGTGAAGTGTCGATTGAAGGTTGTTTGAGAGAGAAAGACGGCGATTGAAGGTTGTTTGAGAGAGAAAGACGGCGATTGAAGGTTGGGAGATTCAACGATTGGAGTTAGAAGATGGAAACCCTTGTTTTCCTTTTCAGTTTTTTTTTTCTTTTTTCTATTTTCTATTTTTTTTTTAAATTTTATCCTAAAGTATGAGATTGAGAGGAGTGAGGATCATGTTGACTTAATATTTTTTCTTTTGAAATGTGTAAAATTTTATTTATTTTAGATAAATATCTATTTTATAGTTATATATTATTATATAAGTTACAAAGACAACAAATGTTTAAGTATAAGATTTTAAGTAATTTTTAGTTCCTTTTAAAAATATCATTAGTTTTTTTTTTAATTTATATTAAAAAAAAATTATTGATTAATAGTATATATAAGTTTATAAGACTTTACCGAGGGTTTAACCGTGGGTAATTACCGACGGTGCAAAACCGTGGCTGCTTTCCATGGCTAAGCCGTGGATAATGTTTAAAAAAGATATAATTGATATTGTTTCAGGTACTCACGAATTACTGACGAATAAACCCTCTATACCAAAAAATTATCGACGACTACATGGCCGTGGGTAATGATCCGTGGGTATATACAACTTTTCTTGTAGTGCTTCACCATCTTCACTATCTTGTTTGATTTTGAAGCTCATATGCTTTTTCCACACGCTTAAGATTTAGAGTTGTGTTATTGTACTGAATATAGTTTATGTTTTGTTGTTGGATTTTATGGTCTGTTTCATGCAAAGTTCATATATTTTATCCATATTCTTAAGATTTAGAGTTGTGTTATTGTACTAAAAATGCTTTAGGTTTAGATTTTATTGTCCCATTCACAATATTGTTTTGATATAAATTTCAGAATTTATTATGGATCATAGTTGGATAAAATCTGATAGATTAGTTCTAGTATATGAGAAAGGAGTTCTTGAATTCCTTGAATACGCTAATCAAAATCTTCTCGACAATAATGGTATCTTTTATTGTCCTTGTGTTAATTGAAAGAATATAAATAAAGGTATGAAGGATGAGATATTCCATCACCTATGTTGTGATGGTATGTGTCAAAATTATACAATATGGATATGCATGGTGAGGTGGAAAAAAAATTGAAACCTTGTGTCACAAAGTCACGAAGTTGATAAAGATGAATATATGGATGACCATTTAGAAGATATGTTTTGTGATATTGGATAATCTTCTTTTAAGAAATCTCATGTTTATGATACTTTATGTAGTGATAAGGACACCCTTTTATATAGGAGGTGCACAAATTTTACACGAGTGTTTGCGGTTTTTAAATTGTTTAATCTGAAAGCAAAAAATGGATGTTCAGATAAAAGTTTCACAGAATTGCTTAATTTTCTAAAACAAATGCTACCAGAAGATAACAATTTGTCTGATTGTTGCTATGAAGCCAAGAAGATATTGTGTCCATTGGGTTTGGAGTATATTAAAATACATGTATGCCCTAATGACTGCATATTATACAAGAAAGAGTATGAAAATTTGGATCAATATCTGAAATGTGGGGTGTCATGTTACAATCTAAAGGACAACAATGATGATGACAATGTTAATAGGAATAGACCTCCTGCTAAAGTGTTATGGTACTTGCCAATACTTTAAAGATTCAAGAGACTTTTTGCTAATGGGAATGACGCAAAGAATATTAGATTACATATAGATGAAAGAAAATATGATGGAAACATGCACCATATAGCTGATTCTTTGCAATGGAAGAAAATTGATTTGTTGTTTCCAAATTTTGGCACTGAACCAAGAAACCTTAGGTTTGGGCTTGCCACTGATGGAATGAACCCCTTTGGTAATATGAGTACTAACCATTCTTCGTGGCCTGTTCTTCTCATGATTTACAACCTATCTCCTTGGTTGTGCATGAATCGTAAGTATATGTTGTTAAGTATGATGATTTCTAGACCACGATAACCTGGAAACGAAATAGATGTTTATCTAAGTCCATTAATTGAAGATCTAAGACTTTTGTGGGAGGAAGTCGTTTAAGTTGATGATGTATATTCTAGTGAAAAGTTTAAGATGCGTGCAATGTTATTTTGCACAATCAATGACTTTCCTGCATATGGTAATTTGGTTGGATATAGTATCAAAGGACACAAAGCGTGTCCTATTTGTGAATCTGATACATGTTATCACCAAATTGAGTTTGGAAAAAAGACTATTTACCTTGGGCATCGGAAATTTTTAAAACTCGATCATTCTTATCATAGATTGCGGAAGGCTTTTAATGGAGAGTAAGAGTTTGATATCGCTTCTAAACCTTTAATCGGGGATGAAATTTATGAATGAAAGAAACACCTTAATGTTGTCCTTGGAAAGAGAGGAAAAGAAAAATGGCAAGTTGTTGATAAAAATATATGGAAAAAGAGGTATGTGTTCTTTGATCTTCCATATTAGTCAAGTCTCGATGTAAGATATTATCTTGATGTGATGCATGTGGAGAAAAATGTGTGTGATAGTTTGATTTGAACAATTCTAAAAATTACAGTCAATACTAAAGATAGTAAGCAATCTCGTCTCGATATGGAGGCGATGGGTATACGAAAATAATTGGCTCTAATAGAAAAAGGGAAAAAAATTTATCTTCCTCCGGCTTGTTATATTCTATGTAAAAAGGAAAAGAAAAGTTTTTGCGAGTGTTTGCATGGTATCAAAGTTCCCCAAGGTTACTCATCAAACATCAAGAAACTTGTATCAATAAAATATCTCAAGTTAATTGGTTTGAAATCTCATGATTGTCATATCTTGATGCAACAACTTCTACCAGTGGTTATCGTGACATTCTACCAAACAATATGAGAGTAACTATCACCAGATTGTGTTTTTTCTTCAATGACATATGTAATAAAGTTCTTGATTTCAAAAAACTAGATGAAATAGAAGATGAAGCTGCCATAATCTTGTGTCAATTGGAGATGTATTTTCCTCCATCATTTTTTGACATTATGGTTCACTTACTTGTTCATCTAGTTAGAGAAATTAGAATTTGTGGTCTAGTTTATTTAAGGTTGATGTATCCAATATAGCGATACATGAAGATCTTTAAAGGATATACAAAGAATAATCACCGACTGGAAGTTTTGATTGTTAAAAGGTACATCATAGAAGAAGCTATTGAGTTTTGTACAAACTATTTGTCTAAAGCAGGGTCTATAGGAATTCCAAAGTCTCGTCATGCTGACACTGAAGGTAGAGGTATTCAAGGTTTAAATGTTAATTCAATGGCTCGAGATGTAGTTATTCAGACACATTTCTATATATTGAATAATTTTGATGAAGTTCAACCTTACGTGGCTACTCACAAAAGACTTTTGAAGAAAATACATTCACGACTGAGTGGTAAGTTGTTGTTGATCGAGCATAACAAGAAATTCTTAGATTGGTTTAATAAAAGGATACCAAAAAATCATAGTACATCCAAGATAATTAAATAG